CCTTTCCCTGCCAGCCGTGCTCACTGTCTTCCCAGCTCTGCCCCTGTTCCCTATTCCCTGTCAGCTGCCTGCCCTACTGGCCCCAAACCCCTTTCCCTGACAGCTACATCCCCGTGTACCCCCTTCCCTCCCAGCTATCCCCCCTCACCTCCCTTTCCTGACATTCTCCCATCCCTGTCATTTCCCTCAGTTCCATCAGAATAGGGGGACACCCCAGGCTCTGTCAGGTGTCCCCTTATTCCCCCAGGGTGTCACCCCCTTCTCTTTACCGGGAGTCTGATTCCTTGTAAAGACTCATCCTCTCTCCCCAGCCCCTCACCCCCATTTTCTCCAGGCCCTCTTCCCCCCATCATCTGCTGGTACCATCCCCTGCCAGGTACAGCTCCTGCTTTTTTGGTTCCCTTCCCACCCCCGGCACTGCCCTGTCCTCACATTCTTCTCCCCTTTCCTGGGTGTGACCCTGCCCTGCTCCCTCCTCTGCTCACTGTCCCCTTGCTAAAGCCTCCACAGAAACTTTCCTTGCCCTGGTGAGTGTCCTGCAGCCCCTTTCCTTGGAGAGGGGATCAGCCTCTCCTCCTCTGCCAGTTAAACTCCTTCCTGGAGCTGCTGGGCCGTGCGGGACCTGGCACTGGGGTGTTGCTTGTGCTGGGCTGAGGGGTTGGCTGGCATCTTCCCTTTTTCCCGTGGATATGTCAGCTGGGGATCAAGGGAGAGGCAGGACTGCAGTGGGAAGCAGCCTGTGGCCTGAGTGTGTCAGAGTTTCCCTGACAGACCCCTCGTGCTGGCTCTGTCCGGGCTTGGATCTCACCTCTCCTCCTGGCTCCCTGCTCCTGGGGAGCCACTGCTGCTCCTGACAGCTCCTTCAGCTGGAGCAAAACCTTCTTTTAACAAGGTATTTGCTGCTAACCAGGTCATTCCCTCTTGGTTTTTCAGGTTTCCTAAAAGAAAAAAAAATAAAAAAAAAGTATTCCTATCTACACTCAAATGTTTTAATTTGATCTGTGACCTCTTAGAAAGTCAAGGTAAAGAGGGCAGGGAAATAAGTTGTGAGGATAAAGAAGCCTCTCGAGGCGGGTTCTAGGTGGTATTTGGATGGGTGAAATAAT